TCTTCCAGCCGCGCTGGAGGCTGGGGCTGGTTCCCATCTATCCTTTGGGGCGTGGTTCTTTGCCGGCTGCTGTATCCTTCGGTCCTCGCCACCAGCCTGCCGTGCCCTCTCTTCCTCTGTCCGAACTCTTGCCGCGCTGGTTCGTGAGCTTGCTGTCCTCTCTCACGACACGACGATAGCGGCCCTGAAAGCTCAAGTGCTGGCATTTGAGCAGAATTCGGGTGCCGCTTACGTCCCCCCTCCCGGTAAGCAGTCGCTGGTCGACTGTGAGGCCACCATCGAAACGCTCCGGCGCCAGATCAACAAGTTGACTGGCAAAGTCGCCATGTATGAGCGACACTACAACGTCACCGCCGTTGACGCCGACCGCGTCACCTCCCACCACACCATCGCCAAGCTGAAGCTGGAGCTTCAGTCGAAGTGCGACGAGATTTCCCGGCTGAAAGATGCCATTATCCACAAGCGCAACGACACAACGGTGTCGACCCTTCTCTGCGAGCGGAACCGGCTGGAGGTGGCCCTTGAGGCCAAGAGCAAAAGGGTGAACGAGCTGGAGCCGATCGCTCTTCAGCACGGCCGCGATATGTACCAGCGCGACGCCCAGGTCGCCATATTCAACGCCCTCAAGGAGTATATCCACCGGATGGTGGAGGCGGGAGGTCTTCAGATGACCGTCGTGGTGTTGTTCCTTGGGGCTCTTGCGGGCAATGCTGGCATTGACCTTGCGGAGCTCGGTATCGACGGAACCCAGTTCCAGACTTACTTGGACTACGCCATGGCGGCCTGTGATGGCCTCCCCTGTCCTCTCCTTCCACAAGGTATGTTCTCCTAACATATCCTCTACTGATTTGAAGACCGTTTACTAATCGTTGTCTAGGTGGCTTGCGCCTTCATGGCATTCGGTATCCGCTGTCTGGTCTGCGCGTCTTTGGCAACAGGGTTGTCGAGGCTGGCCCCAGTGTCGTCGTCGCTTCCACTCCAGCCATTGTGGCCGCTGCCTCTTCGGTACCCCCAGTCGGCTACAACACCTTCAGTGCCCCTCCTGCTATCATGCAAAACGCACGGAATACCTCCTGCGCGACTCAGCATGTCGCCTCTGCCGCCCCTCCATTCGTGTTTGCCGGCTTCACAGCCGCCTCCAAGTCTCCTCTGGCAATGTCATGTCCGGCGAAGACCTCCGCGCCTGCTCTGCCGGATCCCGTTGCCGTGGCGCCGTCCCAGCCCGCCACAAATGAGACGAGACAGATGAGCTTCCAGCCAAGCAAGAGGCCGGGTACGTTTGGCGTAGGTGGCGGCGGGATTGGCAAGACGAGTGCGGCTCCGAGGAGGTCTTCAGCGCGTCGGGTTTGGGGGTTGGAGCAGAAGCGTGCTTATGCGGTGGTGGACGTGTCGGTCGTATGTATTTCTGGTGATGAGCGTGATTCATTCAATGCTTTCAATAAAACCTGTTCAGATGCGCCAAATATCTCCTGTGTCTAAAGTGGCCTAATAAGCAGGCTCTCTTACGTTGAGCAACCATTATCGTGTGTTGTTTTAGTCCGGACCTGGGACTGCTCAACGATGCGAGGTGTTGCTGTCGGGCCCAAGTGGGTGCAGTTGGTCAGAAAGCTGAGGGCGGAATGTCGCGTCATCTTCGCGTCGCGCCACCTTTGGAAGGAGACGCGACGCCAAGAAGCTTTGACCAGGACTTTGCCACCCCACCCAATGCCTCGCACCTCGTCGCGAGCTAGATGCGATCTCTACCACGTTATCACTTCTGCGCATTCCAGGTACATCATTCGGGTATCCTTAGATTCTTTCTCTTCAACAGCCAGACCGGATGCAATACGGCCGCCCAACGTGTTGCTGATCGAGTGCGCCTCTACTGGGCAGATACACGAAGGCTTAGCATCTATCTGCAGCTCAACTATGTGCAAGGGCCACGCAACCTCGAGCTACCCTGGGCGTTGTCACTACATAGATGCTGGCACTGGACAACACTGCAAGTAGGCGATTGGATTGACCTGTTCCCCCTGGTGCAGCAGTTACGGTAATCTTCTCGAACCTTCTTTACTAATGGATCCAGTCAACCTTGTGGAGTTTCGGAGACGTAAACATCTGTTTTACCTTCCCATTCCGCAGCTGTTTAGTGACACATTGCAGGAGACTTTGGTTTCCTGACATCTGATTGTGGTCTTTTCTCGAAATCGCCATAGAAGCCATGGTATCAGGAGGAATGATTGTCTTTCGCGTGTCGTAGTCGCTTGCCCACGTGTGAGAAAGCGATTCCAGGGAGACGAACAAACCTTTCCAGCTCACTTCCTCGTTATGCGTCGCTAAATGCCTTTCTTGATAACCACTTCGCAGCTTGGCACACATCCAACTATCTTCCGCACGAGCGATGTCGCAGCCGCCACTTCCTGGAAAACCAGAACCTACATTTGAAGGTTTACCTCCTGAGATCTGGACGCAGATTTGCCACTCACGGTCGTCGTACGCAGACGGAGAGAGCTTCATCCTCGACCCCATAAGCCTTTCTAGTCTCCGTCTCACTAGTCGGATCATCCATTCGAAGACCCAAGACGCATTCCTACAGCGTCATCTCGCTTCCTCCAAGTTCAGCCTGATGCCATGGAGTCTGGCGATTCTGAGGGACCTGTCTGAAAACGAGCATCTGCGCACGTATGTGGAAGAGTTGGAGTTCGGCCCAGAGGTATTAAACACAAATCTGGATGTGGACCTTCGATATATCAAAGAGCCATGGGAAGAGCCGTCTATGGGATGTCCACACCCTCAAAGCTACATATACATGGATTCTGCCCGACCCGTATGGCCCATGGCCAAGCTTCCGGAGCCGCTTTGGAAAGGCCTTACTGGAAGAGGTTCAGGATCAGCATTAGTGGTTCGTTGGAATGACCGAGGTGGCTATACCCACTGGCTTCAAAAGTACGAAGGCACACTTAAGAGACTGGTCGAGCACCAGAACCGCTTTAGCACAGCGGCCAAATACGTTCGAGATGCCATCGGAAAGCTTACGAACTTAAAGAGTATCAAGATCAATCCCCGTCCTATAGGGGCATATTACGAAGAACGATTCGCCAAACCCATACCACGGAGTAGAGGTACCATGTCGCTCTATCGCGCAGTCGGAGCACACGCCATTGAAGTGACCACCGATTTGGCCCCATCTGGTTCGAAAACTCTCTTAGAATTTAGCCTCGATGGCCTTCTCTTCATGGAGTATTACGCCGAGGTCATCATGCTGGAGAATCTCTCGAGAATACTGAGCACGGTTGACTTGGACAAGCTCACAGTTGACCTGACAATCACTGCGGCGAACCTTCCATCGAACGGCAGGATTTATGATCCTGGTCATCAAAGCTGGAGAGTCATAGCTTCGCGGATACGAAGTCTAACTTTCGATTGCGCAATGAGTGATATCGATGGCAGCGAGGTTCCTGCCTTGCTAACATGGATATCGGAGATGATGATTTACGCTACTGCCGTCGAGCACTTCTATGGACGCAGCTGTGGCTTTGAGTACCGGATGTTGCGGACTGTCTTTGTGCAGTCTTCCTGGACCAGTCTTCGGACGCTACATCTCTTTCGATCTCGTAGTCACGGGCGCAATTTGCTTCGGATGCTTCTCCGTCATCGCTCGACACTGGAAGATGTGAGCTTTTCGCATGTCACAGTCACAGGTACGAACATAGCAGCATGGAGAGACATATTTGTGGCAATGAAAGACATGCATCGGCTCGGGCGTGTCACGCTTGAGCAGCTCGAAATACAAGGCGACCTCGATATGTCTAGCAATGCGCCATACTCATGGGCTTCTAAGCCACTCACATCTGATCGGCTGAAGGCCAAAGGGTACGAGAAGGTTCGCTCGATGTTGGACTTCGCGATGCAGCGCATAGTACTTCTTTCGGGTCGAGACATCACATTTTGGCAAGTACATTTCGAGGTTCCTCCATGAGATATCTTGTGGCATCAAATCTGAACAACTTTATGAACTCGGCCGCTTCTATGGTTTCAAGGTGCAAAGAAGTACGTTACGAAACTGCTATTTGAGTTACTTGACTGAAGGTGCTAGCATCGCAAACTAGACGAACTTGGGTAGGAAAAGAGGGTCCGACTGTAGCTCCAGTCATGACCTAGGTAATTGTAACTCCCCTGGAATCAAGCCACCATCCAGAGTTAAGTAATGTCGCTGAATGCCACTTCTGGTACTATCGCAACATGCGATTATCGACCAAGTGCGTCTGATTAGAGCAACGAGTGCGCCTATATGCGGAGTTTCAGATCGCATGATGACGTTGTTACATTACTCGATTTCTCACTGTTACCAATGCAGAACACTAACTCGGCGAAGATGGGTAAGCACTCCAATAAGGTATCACACAGTACAACGCATGATTTCGCCATGCCCACGTATGCTATTCCTCCAGTATGCAGGGCTGACCAAGCTGGTACATATAATTCGGCAATGCAGCATTATCATACGCTCTACTCATGATGCGGTCGCCATTAGCGTGGTAACATTCGAGCTTCTACTGGCATCTCTGGAGATAGGTTACAGGTAGCGACGCCGCGAACCCTGGTACCACATATGGGGCCACCGTGCTCAATCGCACCTCATTAACAATAATCACGGGTCTATGAAGGCACACGACTTTATTCAAACCCCGTAAAAATCTTCTTCATTAGCGATTCTAATCGCTTCAACGAGATCACAGCATTCACGATACAAAACTTCCCGACCAGAAACCCAACATCTGGTAGCAGCATACATACATTCATCGCCTACCATGTCTTCAAGCGCTTCAATCAACTCCGTTGATTCTCTCGAGGAACTCTATGGCACCAACACAGCTACCGTGTCGCATGTTATTGAAACGCCCATGGAAGAGGTCCGACGCTTCTTCCTGGGCAAAAGCCATACCCAGATATAGCAGTATGGCCTTGGTATGGAGATACCTGGCGCACCACCACTAGCGGCGCATACCATCGTTGTCACCATGGATTGCGAAATGCACGAGATAGAGCCACGAGTGCTGACAGAATATGGGCTCAATACGTTTTCGCGGAAAGAAATGGCGCCAGTTCTCAGAAGTCCCGGTATACATGGGGAAAATATCTTGCGGAATATCTACTACTATCACATTCGTGTACGCGAGAACGCACACCTTATCAACTGGAGGTTCGTCCGAGGAAACCCCGAGAGAAATCACTTCGGCTCAACGCGCTTTGCCACGAAGGAAGACGCAAAAGAGTTCCTGGTCGAAACACTCGCGTGGCCTATTGATGATGACAACGAGGATGGTCCTAAGTGCCCAGTCATATTTCTCGGCCACTCAGTCAAGAACGACCTGCAGATGCTGCAACAAGACCTTGGTATCGACCCCAAATTCGACAGCAACGTCGTCGCTATCATCGATACCCAGAAGATCGCGAATGAGCAGGGTATTCGTGGAAAGGGCCAGCAAATCGGACTTCCAATTTTGATCCAACACTTCGGCGTGGAGTTTCGCGATGGTCACACAGCTAGTAACGATGCGGCGTACACCATCATCAGTGCCGTACAGATGGTCTTGAAGAATTCGCTGCCGACCGACCCAACCCGCTCGCTGCAGGACGTTGTGAACGGTGTCGCTGAGGATAGTAAGGGGACTGTTGTGACATTTGGGTTGCCTAGAAGGTGCACTGAATGTAAGGTTGCCAGCCATCTTGTTCAGCCAGGATGCAGGAAAAAGTTCGTTAAGATAGAAAGAGGGGTGAGGAGTAAGTCTTCCAAGCGGCATGATCGCGCTGCTTGCACGCGTCTTATGATCCTATGTTTACCGATGGGGTGTTGGTGGAGGCCTGGTGGGCTGACGGGCATTAACCTCCCTATTTCTTCAAGATGTCGCTTAGTTGTCACTTCAGTTCAGCAAGCTGCATTATTTGTATCGCAGCGTATAGTATTGACACCTCAATTTATCTCGAATATCACCGCATCCAGATGTTACCCTCCCCACCAACCGCGCGATCGCTCGACCTCAAATCCCATTCATTCATCATCCGATCTAACAGCACCTCCCCTTCTTTCCAGCTCCATTCCAATAAGTTGTCGTCACATATCCTCCTTGGTCGTTCCTTTTCTTCTCTTTAGGCCAGCAGCACGCCATGCAGACGAGGATGAAGAAGAGAAGCGCAACTGTGGCTGCGAGGCCGATCATGATGGCTTTGCCGTGAACGCCGAAGTAGACATACTCGTTGGGGTTGGTGGAAGTGGCGCTTTCTGCTGGTGCAGTGGAGGTTGCGATAACAGAGGTAGCGAACGTTGTAGTTGCCATGGTGGCTTTTGCTTGGGATAGATTGCTGTGATATCTGATGTTAGTCGTCATGGCTATAGACTGACAATGATGGAATTCGTACCTGTGAATGCCTTGATCTAATGCCAGTCTGACGTGTAGCTTCTTCAATGCTAGATCACCTCTAAGGTGTGTGAGGTCGAGCTGTCAGTACGCATAGAGCTACAGCGTGCTTTTATCCGTGGACTCAAAGGCTTCTGCGCACGGTATCCTCTCACGACTTCCACTTTGACATGGTCAAAGGTCTCCTCAATATTCTGTCTCAACGTACACAACCTATTGAACTCGGTTATTCAAACGCGCTGTTTACACAACTTCTCGCGAGAAGCAATGATCTTTTGGAATAACATGCGGCTATCCTTCCAAACAGGTCCATAGCCACAAAGAGGCCGGCCTCAGCGCTTGCTAATCTCCCAACGAGTTGAGAAAATGCCCGATAGGGCTGAACGGCCGACCCGTCAATACTTACACTAACGGAAACCTGCATGGAAGGTTGGTAGAAGGCTCAGATATCGTGGGAAGAAGGTGGTGTGACCTTAGTCCTGGTGAAGAAGGATGAAAAGGAGCCGTAGCTCGTTGAGTAGAGCGACACTCAATATCTTTCAGAGTAAGATGGTTATCCAACGGCGTTTCTCGATCCTATGTCGGGCCTCGTTGCGTCCTTCTTGTCCTGAGCTGTAACGATTCTGCCTTGCGACAACATTGTTCCACGATCCAATAAGGCGGATGTCACTTCACGAAATGTTACGCGAACGTGGCACCGCAACCGCGATGCATGTTCGTACATAGCGCCGGTGAAACGGACCCTTACAGACACTGCAGTCGAGATGCTTACTGGACGTATCCTTGTCTATACATGCTTTTGAATTGGAGGGTGTGACGAGAACTCAAATGAACATTCATCGCGAACTTCAAGCCTAACGGCGGATTAAATTCTGTGGCTTTAAACTTGCCATACAATATCGCTCTTCATTACTAATTACCTTTAATCGTACATTGACTGTATTACTACTTCCAGTTCACCTCTGGTAGCGCAAAATCAGAAGTTCGTAGATACCCCAGGTCGATGTCCTCTATGCATATCCGAATCCTCCATCTCCGCGACGCCATCCGGTACGTTTCCTTGACTTCTTGGATCAAGCTGCGGCGGAAGTAGAGGCTCGTTGTGCAGTTCAGCCGCTTCATGAACAACACCGTGAAAGCTATCAGTACCAAGCTCACTCATCGGACTCATGGGCCCCGCACCATGTAGTTCAGCCGAGCGTGTGGAGCGTAGAGGTGCATTCGTGCCAAGCTCACTCACTGGACTTCTCACCCCCTCACTGCGGAGATCGGTGCTGCTTGTCCTGATAGTAGGTCCGCCGGAAGGCGAGTTTGCATGCCAGCCTTGCATTGTTGGGGTCTGAGAGATGGGCGAGGTGGGTGATGATAGGCTCGTTACCGCGTGCGAGCTCATCTCAGGATATCGAGAGTCTATATTGCTACCATGATGATGTGGGTCTGGTCGCTGAGTGGATTGGTAGTATCGCGCGTTTTCGCTGCTTCCACCATGCATCTCCGGAGGTCTGAAGTAACCTGTTTGGGGACGTGGCACTGGTATATCCTCGCTGTGTAATTCGGCTCTCGAGCGTTGACGTACCGGTACACCGGCTCCCATCTCCGAGTATCGACCGAAGCTCGAATCATGCTGGATGTTTGGTAGTTTAGGCTTCGGGCTGGTGTTGCGAGAGGGCTCCCATATATCTGCTGGAGACGCGAGTGAAGATTGGCGTTTGCGACGACGCATAAAGAGGAATATGAGGCCGATGATGAGCGCAATACCCACGGTACCGCCTGCTGCTGTGCCAGCGATAGCGGTGGTACTGAGTGTAGGCGCAGCAGCGGCAGTGGTAGTAGATTTAGGTGCGCCGTTGGAGATCGCAGTGACAGTGACATGTGGGTGAACAGTCACGCCATTCTGTCCCTTTGACGTAGATTGTGCGAGGCGAGTGTCGTTCGGGAGCGGCGCCGGCCCAACTGAAGTCGTTTCTCCTTTTTCTGTAGAGCTCGGTGGTATTGAAGTCGCTGACGGTGGTGGCTGGGATGATGCTTCTGCAGACTGTTCTGTGTCTGTAGAAGTAGCGATCGAGACTGTTGGTACCGTGCTAGACGCATCTCCGTCAGAGTTCGTTGACGTGCGTTGATCAGTGGTAGATGAGAGTATAGTGACAGTGATTGCCGCAGTACTACTCGGTGTTGTGTCCTTGAGCAAATCCTCATAGGTAAACTCATCGTCATAAAGACGCAAAAAGTCCTCCGTATTGTCCTTGCAGGCGGCGGAGAATATAGCGACGTAATCTATGACCTAAGTTCAGTAATCGTTGAGGCATAGGTCTGGCGCAGAATGAAGGCTCACCTTGTCTGTCTTGCAAACTCGGACATGCACTTAAAAGACATGGGCCGTATACTTGGAAGTGTATATGAACAGTGTTAGAAAGGTGACAAATGCCTCCGAGGTCATCAGCGCAAGTGCCATCGAGGACCTTGTACTGCCCGACGAGACATTGTCGCTAGTATTGAGGTAAGTAATAGGCCCTACCGAAATGACTGCGCGTTCGCAAAAAATACTTACTGTACAGTCAGGAAGCGGTAACGGTGGCTTCGGAGGCACACATGATGGATCACGCGCTTGAGCAGCGACGATGCTGATCAGCAAGAATAGCACGTAAAGTATCATGTCGAACGTGAACGTTGGTGGTTCGATCGATTAGAAGAAGAAGAAGCCCATCGAGAGCAGAAGAGATTCAGCCTTACTCGCTTTTAAGTGCAGTCGCCCGCGTTTGCTCTCTCACCTCTCACTCACCCTGCTGCCCAATCATAGCACATCTCTTGCCTCACCTCTTACGAACCAACGGCAAACACACACTCGACGAGACTTCGTAAACGGGTAGCCACATAAAAGCCGCACTTGAGATTGTTTCGTACTACCAGTTCGCATGCACCACCTAGTTCCGTACGACTTAGTCAACGGAGATAAGCCTCAACCTAGCTCGTCGCCCAACGGGCGTCCGCAGGAACTGCTACACGAGTCGCAAGGATATATTCCGAAGCAGTTCACCGGTGGGAACGGGGAGATGTCAATAAAACCAAAACACGCAATCTCAAAATGCACCTCCCCGGTTGTGGCGTGGCTCCAGATCCCCATTTCTCTCCCACTCATCCCGCTGCATTCGTTCAAACTGTGCCCGCGATTCCCTGTCTTGCCGAATGTCGATGGAGTCATCGCCGTAGCTAGGCCGGCGTGCACTGTACTCACTCGCCGAGTCATCTTGCGTATTGCACTGGCCCTGCATGACTTGACTGCCGCGAAGCTGGTTGTTGGGTAGCTCGAACTGGCCGTCATTGTATGGCTTATGACCAGGGTACCTGACGAACGTCGACATGGCGCAGTCTTCGTCGGCTGTACCGTACTCAGGAATTGGGCTCTTAGGAGTTGTAGGGCTGAGGGGGAAGGCAGTCGTGCTCCGCGGCGAACCAACGAGTGTCGCGTCGTTGTAGGTAGATGCAGTACCGTGCCTTGATGCTGCGGCGTCCGAGCCTGCACTGCCGGTTCCCCGGAGATCTGCGAAGTCCTGGATTGATGAGTGGCCTCTCAGGGTGATGATCCTGTTGCTGAAGCCGTCAGGGTTCATAGCATCTAGCATCTGAGCGTTTTCGACGCGCAGCTTCTTGGCCTCCCTCTTTTTCTTCCACCAGAGCCACAGCAATACGAAGACAATACCAAGGACGAGAAGGGCGCCGATGACGATTCCCACAATGGATTGGACGTTGAGCTTGACACCGGGTGGAGCAGGCGCAGCATTCTTGGGGTCACTAGCGGTCGAGTCGGGTGCGGAAGGGAAGGTGACTGGAAGATAGGGCTCCCATCGTTTCGGTATATCGACGAGCTCTTTGTCCACCTTCTTACAGTGGTAGAAGAGACTATCCAGGAACTCTGTAGCGAAGTTAGTGGTGAACGACTTCGATTTGAACTTCACATAACACGACTTACCTTCCCTGCCAATGTCACCGTAGCAAGCGTCGAGAACGCACTGCTGGTTGAACTCAGTATTGTGTTCAAGCGAGTTGCTGGCCTTGCAGATGCAGTCTAAATCGCCCATGACACATAACGCCTCGCCCTGTGGCTTTGTCGTCATGCATTTCTGTGGGATCTAGTATATATTAGCAATTGTGTCGAAGAGTGCAAACGGTGGCGCATACTCCGCAGATTGGTATCTGCCCATCGGCCGGACCCGTCGGAGTTGGCATGACTGTAGCTGTCGAATTGGTGATCGTGGTGGTGAGTCGCGTCGTAGTAGTCTTCCGTGACGCCGCGGAAGTGGTCGCGCTTGTAGCCTGAGTCAGTGTACCCGGTTGAGTAGACGTACTAGGTTGAGAGCTCGTGGTGGTGGTG